CCGAAATGACGTTTCGCCCTCTGGTGCTGCTGGACATCTTCCTTCGTCCCGAACTCGCGACAACACGATTTACACATCACAGCCGTATTCCGGGTACGTTTATGAGTCTTGACATGCGGGCGCAGCGTGTGCCTCGCCGCGAACAATTTGTCGCATTCCCAGCAGCTGTAGGATATGGCAGCGGGATGTACGTTGCCATGCACGCGTAGTTTGGGGAGACTCGGAAAGACTTCGTGACACTGGACGCAGCTTAAACCCGTCGGATGGCGGCAACCTTTGTCTTCTTGGTGCTGATAGAGACTTTCTTTGAAGCGGAATGATTTCTCGCATTTGAGGCAGACGTAATCGCTCGAGGAAGGAATATGGCTAGATGGTCGGTCACGAAGCAGCTAGAAGAAGGATGATTAGGCAGCGTGGATGGGTAGTGAAACTCAACAGACATGGACATCGATCATGTCAGAATTTGGCGAGGCGACTGAAGTTTGTTCAACATCAAGTCCAGGCAAACTTTCTGGGTGACCCGAAACTTCCTTGTTCAGAGGCGCGAAATATCGAGATCTATAACGCCGTCGTTCAAGAACATGGACAGACAATCAAAATGAAACAGAACAAACCTCATTTTGACATAGTCAAAGTTCATCTTACCTCCTTCGCTCACAAAGGAAGAGTTCAAACTTGTATTCGCTTCGCTATCACTTGTGGGAACGGTGCTAAGGCAGAGAGTTCAGAAAATATCCACTGCCATTGACACAAAAGACTAACCTCTCGTTCGCACGTTGAATTGTATCGACGTACTTTGAACTACCAAACTTCGTGTCCAGCGAATTCAAGTCGCTTGACCTGAGGCTCGGCCTTGTTATGTTCAGCTTCAAGAAACGCAAGAAGCAACGAAATAACATACAATGGCGAAACGGTGGCGGCCGTCATAAGCGCAGTTTCAGCTTTACGCAAAAGAGCTGTGGAGCGCGGCGGCGGCAGAAATGGGAAGCGTGTATCGCCTGCGCGTAAAGCCGAAGTGGGCAGTGGACCTGGTTCAGCCACCGGCACCGCGATGTGCATTGGCTGAGAGGGCCTGATTTTCACACGCGTGGACGGCATGAAAAGCGGGGCCTCGGCGCGCAGGGCGGATGGATGTGGGAGAAGCAGTAGACGTGGGTAGATCTGAGAGTAGAGAGGACAGAAATAATTACTCTATAGCACTGGGACATCGCACAGCTCTTATACCCCACGGAGCCCTTGTTCGCGTTGGACACAATAACCATCACATCACAAAAAGAAAAACAATACGCGTTGATCTCCGGTGGCTGCATTCTTCCATACTTGGGTGAAGGCAGAGAACGGAGCTCGTCGGGACAGAAAGATAAAGGAGTGAACTTCTTTGAGCGTGCTATGCGCAATTATTTTTTCAATCAGAGCTTCAGTCGCCCATATAGGGGGCTAGAAACAGAGTCAATGTTTGCAGTAACCGATTATCTAATGCAGGAATACTCACAAAAGACGAGCTTGTAATGTTCCAACGGCTTGATGGTAAAGAAAAGGGCAAGCAGGCGTGGGAACCTTATGAGCTTGCAATTGTTGGGACCATGCCAGATAATTATTCACAAAAGTACATCTAACAATTGCCTGCGTTTCCGAGTTTATCATACACAGACGGTCTAAAATACGAAACGACGAGAAATTTTCCCTTAGCATGACTACTCTTCGACCAACCCAGAGCTGCCGCCGTTCTCCTCCTCGCCACGTAACATCGCAGAGAAAGCAGTACTACCAGGTGCTTCTCCATGCACTGAAATATTGACCGGACTCAGGCCTTCGATGTCCCTCTTCAACGTCGGAAAGCCCTTCTCCGGGCACCCAAGGCAATGAAGAGACGCGATCTGCAGCGTCGGCTGACGCGTCCCACACATCGCCACAAAGCTGGCATCTGCGAAGGTAAACGCAGGCTCGCCCAAGGCGAAGCTTGCGAATATAAACCCTGCCAAGTTGGGCAGAAGTTCTGTGTTTGATAAGGTCTTGACCAACAATGACATGCCATCGCGTATTGCCCAAAGCTCGCGCTGAGAGAACCTGAAAACATTGATGCCATAGGATGTCTCCAATCTTTGAAGCCCCGGCGTCAGAGCGAAGACATCGGCGAGGCTGGACGTTTGAGAGCGGAGGTCAGCACCACCCAACATCAGGTTTGTCAGCGCACATCGGGAGCGCTTGAGAAACGCGAGCAAGGTAGGAAGATGCGCAGGTGAGACAAAAGCGGGCTTTGAACGAAGCTCCGCGCGTATTACTGCGTCTGTGAAAAATAGGGAGAGGTCGGAGAGCGATGGGAGACACAGGAAGGACAGAAGGCCCACGTCGGATGTCTCGAAGCGGGTGATGCGATCCCGGTGTATGTACTCCTTGACATCAACACCCAGTGGATTCCAGTCATCGTCGCTGTAGGGGAGGGCACCTGGATCAAGACTCACATCCTCGGCATTGGGGCAGAGAGTAAGAGCATCAAGGGGATCATACGCTGCTAGATGGCGGCCTGTGTTTGCCGCGTAGCGATAGTTCAGCTTGACAATTTGGGCAAGTGCAACACTATCCACGTCGAGAGGCGGCCCAACCATATTAAGCTGGATGAGACTGAGCGCTTTGTGTAAGGCAACAGTGGGTTGATCCCGTACGTCGAAGCCATAGGAATATGTCCGATAGGTGAAGTTTTGCAGCCGTGGCACGCGACTCCCGAGGTCCTGCAACAGATGAAGATCGCTGGAACGTATTTCAAGATGCGCTTCGCGCCACCGATTGCAGTGCTCCAGGAGCACAAGGAGGAGCCTGTACGCATCACTGCTGAAGTCCCTGAAGTGAAAGTACAAGTCGCGCTGACCGCTATGGGCTAGTGCCGCTGTCAAGAGCGCAACGGGCTCCCTTAACTGGAATGTACTTTTTCGGCCCGTCCAAAAGACGTTTCTGCCCACCGACATAGTTGCCCATAGCTCGGTGCAGCCCAGCGCTGCAGCGCGCCAAAGTCTGGAGACACGGATGAGTGCCCACGGTCCGTCATCGACGTTGAGGACGTCATAGCCCCGTTGTTTCGAGTCGGCGTCCAGGTCGCTTCCCAACACTATGAAGATCGCTTGCAGGACCTCGACTGGAAGACGACGAACGGCGGAGCAAACAGAGCGGTAGAGACGACGATGTGCAGCGACAGCAACAGTTCTCCTTTGCAAAGTCTCGACATCTGGTAGACTCGCCAGAGCTACGTCTAGTGACTTTTTCCACGCATGCATGATGTCGAGCTGACGCTGCGTGGGGATGTCGTTTGATTGGGTAAGGGATTGAACGGCCTCTGGAACGCTTCGAGCTATCCGCTGGATCTCACTGGTTTGGGTCGTAATGGGCATAGTACTTTTGAAGTAAGTGTTGTTCCTGCGGGAGACAGGTTTACGAAAATATTGGACAGAGACAATCAAGGTCACTCACTGGATGGTCGTGGTTGAAGACAGAGATGGTGAATGTCATGTGGCTATCTCTGTTCGACTTTTATAGGAAGACCAGGCGTTCATTGTTGTCCATTTTAGGAAATTTTTAACAATGGGCGCACATGTTCAGAGAGGCCAGGGTCAATGAGAAACGTTATAATCAAGTCGGACGGACAACAGAAATAAGCAGGTAGATAGGTAGAAACCGGCACGAGTTCCCAACAGTATCACGAACGGCCGGGTGTACTTAGCAGTATGAGGGAATGTGAGTTGGTTGGGGACAAGTTATGTCGGCACTTGCCGACCAGAGCCGGGATCATTTCCACCACTTGTGGCATGAAGGCGACTCGGAGTTGGGATATACATTGCTGGTGCGACAAATATAATAAGTAGTAGAAGAATACAAACCAATATGATAGAAAAAAAAGTATCCTAAGTGCCTCCACATCCTCGCGGAACCACAAAGCGGCGAGTGTTAGATGCAGAGTCCCAGAGTAGACAAGATGGCGCCTCTGTTCATCCAAGTACACAGATTGCCGGATATTGTCCGCCGGTTCCGCCGCAGACTTAGCAATAAGCATGTATTCAACTTCGGAGAGCATTTGGTCTTTGCCAATCCCTGAGAGCCAACGACGAGAAAAGCGGTGGGCGAGAGTTTCAGGTGTAGTGGCGTTACGCTTGGAGGTTCGAGGAGAGTAGGCGGGTGACGGTAACGGACGATGTGATCGTTGTTGGAAGCGCGTGTATGGCGTGGGCAGACTCTGGCTAGAGGAAGGAGTGTGGATGGCGGGCATTATGAAGCTGTGGACAATTAGTATTGGGAAAAGAAATGACAAAATGGAGGCGTACTGTTGGGCGAGGTAGGGAGTATCGCAAGCGGCAATAGAAGTGAAAAGCAAACAACGATCGGATCGCAAGTCCAGCGCGATTTCCCGGCAAGCGTCGCATTTTGCGTGTTCTCATGATATCAGACTGCTACGCACACAATGGTCTAATGATTGGTGCTGGCGGCAGGAGCTGGTCGAGCTAGCCAAGATGCAGAAGATCTGGTACGCATTGAGGGATCATGAGTCGTTCCCATTCCACTTTTGAATCCCTGGTCCACCGTTGTTGCCTCTAATTCGGATCATGAAAGCGATTCGGAAGAGGACAAATCCAATGATGGTGATGCTTATTAGTTAGGATGCTGAGGAGGAAGATTTGGTCTGGGAGGACAACACCAACTTCTCGGGAGAATACATACCAGCGATGATCCTCAAGATTCAAAGATGTTCTTCGAAGTGCGTGTGCAGTGCGGTGAACATGTAGCGAATCGCAATTGGGGAACCAGTGGTTTAATCTCGAACTCATAACTGTTGTAGGATATTAGGTCAAGTGAAGTCAGGTTCTTCATACAGTATTAAAACCGTTTCTAACCGTTGACGGTTTCAAAATCTGGGTCAGTTGGGATCGAGAAACTTGACGGCTCGTGACTCGGGGCTGCAGTCACTCACCAGTGTTGAAGACGCCAAAAAGTATCATCATTAACTTCAACATATCAGGCACTACCAGGGGTCGAACCTGGGTTATGGGAAGACAACCAAGTCAGTCAGAATCCCATGTGCTGCCACTACACTATAGCGCCGTTCATAGTTATTTCCGTCAGGGATTCCATCAGTCAACGTGTCAGTCCTGACTTCATCATACTCGATTCTCGAAATCTCCATCATACGTCCACCTGACCATTGCTCGGATCTTGTTTTCAATGGCCTGACGTTGACGACGATAATAATGCTACTATTAACATCGGCGAGGCGGCTGAGAGGCGCGCCATTGCGTCGGCTGTATCACGACGAGTCGTTCGGATACAGAGCCCCTCGAGCCTGCGTGTTTCCTGACTGTACGTCCTCTCAACTCCCTGCATCCATACTTGCTGACTATATTCTGTACAGATACACCTGCGCAGCTATCCAACAGAGCAGAGAACGCGGCATTATTACGATATGTCGACTCTGTGCGGACTCATGGACACCGTGCAGCGCGCATTGACCCCCTGGATCTTATTCAACGCATGGAAGTGAAGGCACTGGATCCTACGCGTTACGGACTTGTCGATTCCAATAAGAAATACAACGTGAATGGCATTATCTGGACGAACCCGAACGTCGAATCCCAGGGCGAGAACCAGGAGGAGTGGTGGACGCTAGACGAGATAACCCGCCATCTGCGATTGACCTATGTTGGTCGAATAGCTTACGAGGTATGGCTCAATTGAAGCATCTGTTACTTTATCTCATCAAATGTCAAGTATATGCACTCGCCCAGCAAGTCTGAACGATTGTGGTTCTCCCATCACCTCGAAAGCAATCAGACTACTCCGCCGGTCTTGGACAAGAAGCGAATCCACGGTTTGCTTGCGCGCAGCGAGGTGCTCGACAACTTTCTCCAGCTCAAATTTCCAAATCTCAAACGATACGGTCTGGAAGGAGGCGAATCCATGCTGCCCGCGCTCGACGCGCTCTTCTCGTCAGCAGTCCGAGCGTCCATGTCAAACATCATTCTGGCAATGCCCCACCGCGGCCGTCTCAATCTCTTAACCGACCTGCTCGCCTATTCGCCTACTGCCCTCTTCCACAAAATTCGTGGTGGCTCCGAGGTACCCGAAGAACTCGGCGCTGAAGGAGATGTCCTTAGTCACCTCGTATCTTCAACAGATATTGGCGGCGTCAAGGTCTCTCTTCTCCCCAATCCGTCTCATCTAGAAGCCGTCGCCGGTGTCGCGCTGGGAAAGACGCGCGCCAAACAGTATAGCCTCCTCAAGACTTCCCCAGATGACTGCATGCTCGGCGACCGCGTCATGTGTGTACAACTCCACGGCGACGCATCGTTCACTGGACAGGGCGTCGTCATGGAGAGTCTTGGGCTCAGCAACCTCCCGCATTTCACCAGCGGCGGAACGGTACATCTCGTCGTGGACAACAACATAGGTTACACTACCCCCGCATCCCATGCCCGATCCTCCATGTATTGTTCGGATATCGGCAAAATGATCAACGCGCCCGTCTTGCATGTTAATGGCGATCATCCGGAGGACGTAGTGCGCGCTATGGATGTGGCGTTTAGATATCGGCAATACTTTAGGAAAGACATTATCGTCGATCTGTTGGTTTACCGACGATGGGGGCATAACGAGCTCGACCTCCCGAGTCTCACCAGCCCGCTCATGTACGAGCAAATCGCCGCGCGCCGCTCCGTGCCACAGTTGTATGAGGAGAAACTCATCAACGAACAGGTTATCTCTGCGGGCGATGCCGCCGTACTCCGAGACTCATATAAAGTCTATTTGAACGACCAACTAGCCAAGGTTGAAGGATATACTCCGTCTGCGAGTATGCTCGAGGCCCAATGGCGCGGTATAGTATGGCCCGCTTCGTCAGAGGCATCCTCTTCTCCAAGCACAGGAGTTGATACACAAACGCTTATCAATGTCGGGGAAGCCAGTGTGCGGGTACCTTCTGGATTCGAAATCCATCCCAAGCTGCAGCGTCATATCAAGAACCGGTTAGGCAGTTTGACGAAGGGAACTGGGATCGATTGGGCGTCAGCAGAGGCCCTGGCTTTTGGATCGCTGTTGATGGAGGGGTATGACGTGCGCATCTCAGGACAGGATGTTGGGCGTGGGACATTCAGCCAACGCCATGCAATGTTGGTCGACCAGACGAATGAGGGCACGGTTGTACCGCTCAACGACGAGCTCAAGGCAAAAGGGAAATTAGAGTTGGCGAACAGTAAGTTCCTTTGATTGTTCAATTTGGGAATTGTTCGATTGTCCTATTTAGGTTCACTCAGCGAGATGGCGGTTCTGTCGTTCGAATATGGCGCGAGCTGGGAGCGGCCAGACTTACTCCCGATATGGGAGGCGCAATTTGGCGACTTTTTCAATGGAGCGCAAGTCAGACATCTTTTATGCCGCCAATAGGCGTTAGACTGACGCTTGACGCAGATCATTATTGACACTTTCATCACGTCTTCTGAAAGTAAGGTCAACTCCTTGCCGTGTGAAAGTATCACTTATTTTCCACAGCGAAATGGTTGAAGCAAAGCGGTATCGTTATGCTTTTACCTCACGGCTTGGACGGTGCCGGTCCAGAACATTCGTCTTCGCGCATCGAGAGAATGCTTCAGGTAATGTGATTTCGGCCAAGTTTCCATTTCCCTGCCAATAAATAAGCTACAGTTGTCCAACGACAGATACAGTTTATCGGATGACATACCCAATGTGAACATTCACGTTGTGTACCCAACGACGCCTGCGCAGTACTTCCATTCACTGCGTAGACAAATGAAAGGAACTACCGAAAACCCTTGATCGTGGCGGGACCCAAGGGGCTTTTGCGATTATCGGTACGCGTTACTTGCCACTTTTCCTCTCGCGAATTAAACATTAGTGCAGGCTGCCGCGTCTTCGCTTTCAGATATGGGACCAGGAACATCTTTCCAGCCTGTTCTTTCCGACGATGTTTCCAACCCCGAACGAATTATATTCTTGACGGGCAAGATATACTACGATTTGATCAAGGAGAGACATACTCGCGGATTGGACGGCAAGGTAGCTTTCGTGCGCATCGAGGAGCTGAGTCCGTTCCCATTCGAGGAGGTGCGGGATGTCTTGCAGAGGTACGGCGGAAAGGCCGAGTGTTTCTGGCTGCAGGAGGAGCCTAGGAATCAGGGTGCATGGGGATATGTGCGCGAGCGGATTGAGGACGTGATGGATGGGAGGAGGCTGAGCTATTGGGCCGCAAGGAAAGTGCGCTGCCTGCGCCAGGCGTGGGGAAGCTGTATAAAAAGCAGCAAGAGGAGGTGTTGGGCTCTGCGTTTATGGGACTGTGACGAAGTAGGCAAGTTTTATGTGTACGTTTGTGTAACTAATTGCTGGAAAGGACTGGAAATGACGAATACATGGCAGCCACCCGCACTCCCTCTCCAAGCCTCATAGCCTGTTTGAACACGTGCACCCATTGTTCGAGGTTTCCTAAATTGGACGACAATGGACGCCCGGCTTTCCTACAGAAGTCAAGCCACATGACCTTCACCATCTCTGTCTTCAACCACAACCATCCAGTGAGTGACCTTGTCTTTCTGTGTCCAAATTTCGTTTTGAAACTTGTTTGTTGTAGCGACTTGCACTACACTAACTAGTACGATAATATGTCCATTCCGACCCAAACCAGCGAGATCCAGCGAATAGCGCAAAGCGTTCCAGAGGCCGTTCAACCCCTCGCCCACTCAAATGATGCCCCGACGGAGCGTCAGCTTAACATCATGTATACTTGGAAAAACTCACTAGACGCAGCTCTGGCGAGTCTACCAGATGCTGCAACCCAAAATTTGCTTAGACGAAGCGTCATTATCGCTTCTCATCGTCTTCTCTACCGCTCTGTTTGCTCCGCCGTACGTCGTCTCCCAGTGGAGATCCTGCAAGCGATCTTCTTAGAGTTTGTGGACGCCGACTCCCAGCAGCACGGCTACGACGTGTTTAACGTCAATGTTGGACCGTGGCCACTCATCCGTGTCTCCAGGCTCTGGCGCGCGGTGGGGCTGGGCTGCCCCGAGCTATGGGCGAATATATCTGTTCACAGGCAGACCTCCTGGGCGCGCCGAAAAAGGCCACTCCTGATGAGGGGCCCCATCACGCTCTTGAGAATGGCACTAGCACACAGCGGTCAGCGCGACTTGTACATTTATTTCATGGACGTGGGCAGTGATGCGTCCACGCTCCTGCGTGCGCTTGTGGAGCACAGTAACCGGTGGCGCGATGTACAGCTTTACATGTCTTCTGGCGATGTTCATCTCCTCCAGGACATCGGGAGTCGCGTACCACGACTGAAGGCCCTCACATATCAGACGTTCTGTGATGGCGGCCCCTCTCGGGATCAGCCCTCTGTTTCCTTGCACAACGCCCCCAGTCTCGTCGAGCTGACAATGTTTGGGATGCCTCTTGACGGGATCAGTGCTGCCCTTACTGAGGTTGTCAAGCTCAAGTATCGTTATGCTGTGAGAACCGGCCGCGATATAGGGTTTTATGATTTCCTCAATTTTTTCTTTCTATGCCCAAATGCAGAGGACGTGAGCCTCGATATGGGTTCCCTCCCCTACGACGACGCGTGGAGTCCGCTGTCTGTTGGACTCACTGACTACATACTGCGGGATAAGATCACGCGTTTCGAGACGTCGGACGTGAGCCTTCTGGATTTCCTCTGTCTCCCCGCGCTCTCCGAGCTCTCCCTTATTGTCACAGCCGCATTCGACTACACGCTTGTATCATCGCCCATATGTCTTATATCCCCCGCGCCCCTTCCCTACTTGCTCGCATTCCTCCTTCGCTCCCGATGTCCGCTCAAAACACTGCAGCTGGGTGGTGCCAACCTCCGTTCTCCAACGGTAGTCTCACCGATATCTTCGCTCTGACGCCGGGTCTGGAACGACTGGAGATATCCTATGGCATTCGCGAATTTGAGTTCACTCAGTACGGGCTTTCGGCGATACTGGATGGAATGTCATTGCTGGTCGAGACGTTGTCGAACAACTTGGAACTGTTGCCCAAGTTGGTGGAGTTTGTATTTGCGAGCTGGGCCTGTGGCGATC